TGAAACCGACGTCGTCGCGCGCTGGAACAGTACACCGCGCACATTTTTTAGGACGACGCCGTGTAATTGTCCTTATGGCATGGGTGTTTCGATGGAAACAAGAATTACTTGGGAGCGATTTTGTCCGGGCGAGTTATTGTTTGTTTTAGGAAGAAGGGTAGATCAGATCTGGCCACCTTTCAAATGATATTATTTGAAATATTACGTCGAATCGCTTTCGCACCCGTGTTACTTTATTTTATGATTGGATGAAGTAATATCGTCGAATCGAAATGATATTATTGGAAATATTACGTGGAATAATATATTATTTTATCGTGTAATTATTTGAAATAATTGTGAAATTGTCCTGCAAAATTATGTCGAATAAAATCACAAGTACGTGACCGAAAATCTGGAAAAAGCCGAAAAAACCCGATACTGTTTAATAATATTTAATCGCAACCGAGTGTACGAAGTATTTTACGATTTTCGAAGTAAATGCATTTAAGCGTTGAATCGACTAAGTGAATCAATGGAAAATGAAGTAATTCTAAAGAAGGTAATTTCTGTAAATTCTGATTTATGTATACAAAGAACAATTACAATTTAATATAATTAGCCAATTAATCGAAGAACGGATTGTCAAGAGATACACACGCGCGAGGTCGCTAGATTCATATCGATCGAAGGATCCACGAAGACTGAACCCTCGAATACCTGCGACGTGAGACGGTCTCGTATATCTGTCGACGAACAGGGGGAAGAATGAACAATAATCGATCTATCGATTGATCTATCGAGAAAGGAATATTTCTTTAGAAATATAGCATATATTAATTTGAGGGTGACTAGAGAATAATATCAAAGGGTTAATAACTGCACCACGTGTTCGTGGATACCGCTTTCATTCGAGCCTGCGAACGAATCAAACGATCCGACGAAATAATAATCGTTTATCGATTTCAATTGAACAGCTTCGTAGACTGAAATTACGCCGAACAAAGTCAGATAAAAGAAAATCGAAGTGACGTCGAAGTTTTCTTTCCCTTAATCCATCCTTTCGGATCGCTTTGTCAGACTTCCCTTCGAGGCTGCCCGTCCCCGTTTCAATGTGGACTAGAACGAAATCCTTCTGTACAGCGGAGGGTGCGCCCTGTACTTTGCAAACTAGTTTTATGATATCCAACCGACACCTACCATGCTAATCCGCCCACAAACTTTACTTCGGTTGTTTACTCGCTTCCCGCGCCTCTCTCCCACCCCTCTCGCCGTCCCTTCGCCCATCGCTCGCCGCTTTATAACTGCTATGGGGGATGTAACATAATTTTCCTTCTCCGTAGTACGCGAATCGATACAATAATAAATGCAGCGGATTCCAAAGGGCGAAGTAACAGCAATTTCACTCGGCGTTTAATCACGCGATATTTCATTTATCCGCCGCGTATTACCGAGGCTAAATGTTTTACGCTTATTGCATTCTTGAAATTGATGCGTCAATAAACAAGATAACGCTCGAAGCGGAGGCGCGCTAAATGCGTTTCCATATTGTCATTGATGCGTTACCATTACGCCTGTCCCGGTAACAAAAATGTGTTACGTCGTTTTGCGTCACCTAACCCCTCCGCACCACCTCGCCCATACGATGGATAATTCGCGCGATTGTACGCTTTATTTACGATCCGTGTGTACAGAGTGTCCCCGTTTAATTCGAGTGCTTGAAATACACTTGCTGACAAAAGTTAAGAAGCAAAGGGTTCATTGAATTTGGATGCAAATGGACGAATAGTTTTCTTGATTCTGGTTGACAACTATAAGAGGAATTACAACAACTACAACAAGTTTCAAAACGTTGATTCTAGGAGAGTCTCAGATCAAAGTTCTAGGCTCCTTTTTCCTCCTGTGTTCGTTAC